CGGTATAACACATCCACCATCAGTATAACATATTCACCATCAGTATAACACATCCACCATCAGTACAACACACCCACCATCAGTATAACACACTCACCATCAGTACAACACATCCACCATCAGTATAACACATCCACCATCAGTACAACACATCCACCATCAGTATAACACACTCACCATCAGTATAACACACCCACCATCAGTACAACACATCCACCATCAGTATAACACACCCACCATCAGTATAACACATCCACCATCAGTACAACACATCCAACATCAGTAAAACACACTCACCATCAGTACAACACATCCAACATCAGTATAACACACTCAACAACAGTATAACACGCTCACCATCAGTATAACACATCCACCATCAGTACAACACATCCAACATCAGTAAAACACACTCACCATCAGTATAACACATCCACCATCAGTATAACACGCTCACCATCAGTATAACACATCCACCATCAGTATAACACACTCACCATCAGTATAACACATCCACCATCAGTATAACACACTCACCATCAGTATAACACACTCACCATCAGTATAACACATCCACCATCAGTATAACACACTCACCATCAGTATAACACATCCACCATCAGTAAAACACACCCACGATCAGTAAAACACATCCACCATCAGTATAACACACTCACCATCAGTATAACACATCCACCATCAGTATAACACGCTCACCACCAGTATAACACATCCACCATCAGTATAACACATCCACCATCAGTATAACACACCCACCATCAGTATAACACACCCACCATCAGTATAACACATCCACCATCAGTATAACACACTCACCATCAGTATAACACATCCACCATCAGTATAACACGCTCACCACCAGTATAACACATCCACCATCAGTATAACACGCTCACCACCAGTATAACACACTCACCATCAGTATAACACATCCACGATCAGTACAACACATCCACCATCAGTATAACACGCTCACCACCAGTATAACACGCTCACCATCAGTACAACACATCCACCATCAGTATAACACGCTCACCACCAGTATAACACACTCACCATCAGTATAACACACTCACCATCAGTACAACACATCCAACATCAGTAAAACACACCCACCATCAGTATAACACACTCACCATCAGTATAACACACTCACCATCAGTATAACACATACACCATCAGTATAACACGCTCACCACCAGTATAACACACTCACCATCAGTATAACACACTCACCATCGGTATAACACACCCACCGTCAGTATAACACATCCACCATCAGTATAACACACTCACCATCAGTATAACACATCCACCATCAGTATAACACGCTCACCACCAGTATAACACACTCACCATCAGTATAACACACTCACCATCGGTATAACACACTCACCATCAGTATAACACACTCACCATCAGTATAACACACTCACCATCAGTATAACACGCTCACCATCGGTATAACACACTCACCATCAGTATAACACACTCACCATCAGTATAACACATCCACCATCAGCATTACACACCCTACATCAGTAGAACACACTCAACAGCAGTAGACCGCCTCCGTGGTCTAGTGGTAGAGCGTCCGCCCGGAGAGCGGAAGGTCCGGGGTTCGACATTCCTTGGTTTTAAAACTACATTGCTACATTTGAATGTAATAACGTTAGATTGTCATTGGAAACAGGAGGCGTAATAAAACGGCCTACTTTGATGGACTATGGTAATAATGGCATACACGAAGATGACGTGTAACATGTACTTATGTAATTAAATGATAACTTAAGTATAAGGGAAGTATGTCTCCCTCTGCATTTTTTGTTTTCTAAAAAAGTGTTACAATTACTACAGTCATCTTCCGGAGGCAAGCCAGTGAAGTTCCCACCCTTGGGAATTTCGTGGCTCAATTCGTGGTTCGATCGTAGCTCCACCAGCGGCTCTTACGAGTTATTTCCCCTTCTAAGTCCCTACAGGTGATCGATCCGCTACCACCTGTCATATCACTTACATTTGCTTGAAATACATTGACGGCGCCCAGTCAAGACGATCTGATCAATAATCAACATCTATACTGCTCACAGTTTGCTAAGGATCAAGTTTTGAGGATATTGATAAGTAGTCCAACAAATAAAGATTGAAATATCCCGGTACACAATGACTGGGTATCCCTTGCAGGACCTCAATTTCATGAAGAACGGACAGAGGCGTGCAGTCATGGGCACGATGTGCACAAGGTGTTCGGATGTATCGTGAAAGAACAGTTGCACATCATTATCAGAGAACTCGACAGTTGCTTCTGAGGATTGTAACAACTGAATGCACATATGACGCTGCATTCTTGGCGATCGAAGAATTTGGGATAGGCATGCATGAAACTGGGTCAACACGTCACGTTGCAAACGTCTTTGGTGCCAGGCAAAGTGTGATCAGCAGTGCATAGAATCGATACCAGACGTTTGGATCGGCTATCCAGCGATATGCAGGTGGGCGATAGCGTTTCACCACACAGCAGGGAGACAGGTTTCACCTCATTGCAGCATGACGTCATCACTTCGTGACTACCACCACACTCAGCAATGACCTGCGGAACGCCAGTGGCTTTTACGTTTCTTCTCAGACAGTGCGTGACCGTCTTCGTGTGTCTGATCTCCGGTCACAGGCAAGCACGATTGGATTGGGCTGAAGATCTCGTCAATTCGACAGACCTGGGCTGAGCTCCAGTACTTTTCACTGGTGAATCGAGATTTCAGGATTCCAACGTAGCCGAACATGATTTGGAGTGGGATCAGTAGAGCTGGAAGAACCAATCTCCATGTCCTTCAGCGTGGCACGATGACAGGTGTGGTCTTCAGGGATGGCGTGCCAGGGATGATGCCTGTCAAGAGGAGGAGACCATTGTCCACATTGAGTGGGCAACCCGATCACCAGACCTCAACCTTATCAAATATGTGTGGAACGCCCTGTCCTTCTGGCGAATCTACAGAAAGTGGCTTTACCTAGCAAACATTAAGTAGTATATTTTGTAATAAAACGGGTCTTACCTTGCGAAGAGTTTGAGCAAGGTGAATAAAACATGTAAAGATTTGAAAAAAAATCCATCGAAGCCCAGTTGACTTTACACATGCTTTTCAAATCCAGATTCCATATTGCGATTTTGATTGGACTCGTGAGGTCAGCCAAAATATTACTCAGACATTCCAGCCTAATTCAGCAAAGGTGGAAACAGGACTTTCACAGTTAAATAATTCCCTTGCCTCAGGAAGATAAACAACAGTAGGGAAAACTCATTGTTGTTTTAACTGAGTGTAGAATTTCTGGTGTGTTAAAGTTTTATAGATAACCTAAAAAGAAGTTTCAAGCGTCATCGCCTGCATTAACAGCATTTACGATCAGCAAATCGGGTGTGTACAATAAGACCCCTTTAATTATATATACATGTACTTAAGCAGACTTCACACTCGTGTTCACAAGAACAGGTTTTATTGTATGAAACTTGTGACGATTTGCCACGTCGATGGTTATCTAACGTTTTGCAAGTCGTTACATTTTAATGAGATACTCTGAAACAAACTATCATATACCAGAGGTTTCAAGCTCCAACACGTGATATAAATCAAATATTTCAAATCTCAAGTGTGGTGTTCAACACAAAAGGAATCCAGACTATCCTGGAAACCAACAGAATAAATCAATACTGTGTTGAACGATGATATGTTTAGCTCCTGTACTCCCTGGAACCACCCTGGCAAGTTGCCAGGTGGTCGTGTTGACAGAAAGTAGAGCGTCAACGCGGAATGCGAAAGGTCCGGGGTTTGATCCCCGGCTGCGTCATACCAAAAGACGTTAATATGGTACTTGTTATTACCGTGCCTAGAGCTCGGCAATTAGGGACTAAAACAATGAGTGGTCTGCTCGGGCTCAGTATACTGTGTCTGTACATGTACATGCATTTATATCATTGAATTTTCTGTCCCTTTTGACACTAATGTGATTGGCAAGACGGAGGAAAAACATTGGAAATATGGGGACCTCGCTTTCAAAATGTCACGCTTGCATCCCAAGCACCAAGTTGTCCGACTCCCCATTGTTCTTGGCGCCTTAGGTTTGGTACCTTCCAATCTGTTGACTGACATTGGGAGAGTCATAATTTTGTGCACTTTTGCACACATTTATTTGTCTGATGATCATCTTCTGAAGCATGTCAAGACTCATGATGAAAACAAGGCATTCCACAGTTTTCTAAAACGAGCCAAAGATGTGGGACATAATCTCAATGTCGGTGTTGGTTTTCGTGATGGTTCTGTACTGATGGATGGTACAGAAATGAATGTCAATGAATGTGAATATGCACGTCGCTATATAAGTGCAATAATCTTGGTGTGTACACATTGTGTCCTCACTGCGACACCCGTGCTCCCTATACACATTAAGACAAATAATACATTCGGCCATATATGTCAGAAAATAACAGTAACAATAAGGACATCACAAATGCTTTTATTGCAGTCTTTCACAAAGACTTGTAATGTAATATATTCATGACGGAATGAGAGCGAATTGTGTAGGTTTTCCGTGTGAAAACGGGCCCATCTGCTGCATATGTATCGATTTACAAAATATTTGAACATCTGAAGAACATTTTTTATAACAGATCTCACGCGACTTTTCCAGGACTGAAAATGTGTCAGAAACAGATGTTGAGAAAAAATTACGTGTCCATTACATCAATACAAGATTTGTGAAATTTATTCGCATATGTAATTTATGGTCAATATGTTTGAAATCTTAAGTTGTTTAGATGATTGGGAGTACATTGTTAGGATAATACACGTTGATATTCACTTAACGTAAACATTTTATGTTTAGATGGTGTGTTTGGGTGATGTTTAGGCTGAGGGACGATAGCTCATTAAACGTCATTAGTTGTAACACACAGATGTGTATTACGTTTAGAATTTAAAACATTGGTAAACATGTTTATATCTAAATATGTCTTGTGTGCCCCTAACCTCCTCACTCTCCCTACCCGCCCCTTCTCACACCCACACTCCGCCCCTTCTCACACCCCCAGTCCACTCACACCCACACCACACTCCGCCCCTTCTCACACTCCCAGTCCACTCACACCCACACCACACTCCGCCCCTTCTCACACCCCCAGTCCACTCACACCCACACCACGCTCCGCCCCTTCTCACACCCCCAGCCCACTCACACCCACACTCCGCCCCTTCTCACACCCCCAGCCCACTCACACCCACACTCCGCCCCTTCTCACACCCCCAGCCCACTCACACCCACACTCCGCCCCTTCTCACACCCCCAGCCCACTCACACCCACACTCCGCCCCTTCTCACACCCCCAGCCCACTCACACCCACACTCCGCCCCTTCTCACACTCCCAGAGCACTCACACCCACACTCCGCCCCTTCTCACACCCCCAGCCCACTCACACCCACACCACGCTCCGCCCCTTCTCACACTCCCAGAGCACTCACACCCACACTCCGCCCCTTCTCACACCCCCAGAGCACTCACACCCACACCACGCTCCGCCCCTTCTCACACTCCCAGAGCACTCACACCCACACTCCGCCCCTTCTCACACCCCCAGCCCACTCACACCCACACCACGCTCCGCCCCTTCTCACACTCCCAGAGCACTCACACCCACACTCCGCCCCTTCTCACACCCCCAGAGCACTCACACCCACACCACGCTCCGCCCCTTCTCACACTCCCAGTCCACTCACACCCACACTCCGCCCCTTCTCACACCCCCAGTCCACTCACACCCACACCACGCTCCGCCCCTTCTCACACTCCCAGTCCACTCACACCCACACTCCGCCCCTTCTCACACCCCCAGAGCACTCACACCCACACCACACTCCGCCCCTTCTCACACTCCCAGTCCACTCACACCCACACTCCGCCCCTTCTCACACCCCCAGCCCACTCACACCCACACCACACTCCGCCCCTTCTCACACCCCCAGTCCACTCACACCCACACCACACTCCGCCCCTTCTCACACCCCCAGCCCACTCACACCCACACCACACTCCGCCCCTTCTCACACCCCCAGTCCACTCACACCCACACCACGCTCCGCCCCTTCTCACACCCCCAGTCCACTCACACCCACACTCCGCCCCTTCTCACACCCCCAGAGCACTCACACCCACACCACGCTCCGCCTCCTCTCACACTCCCAGTCCACTCACACCCACACTCCGCCCCTTCTCACACCCCCAGTCCACTCACACCCACACCACGCTCCGCCCCTTCTCACACCCCCAGCCCACTCACAACCACACCACGCTCCGCCCCTTCTCACACTCCCAGTCCACTCACACCCACACTCCGCCCCTTCTCACACCCCCAGCCCACTCACAACCACACCACGCTCCGCCCCTTCTCACACTGCCAAACCGCCCCATCCCAAACCAACACCACGCTCCGCCCCTTCTCACACTCCCAGTCCACTCACACCCACACTCCGCCCCTTCTCACACCCCCAGAGCACTCACACCCACACCACGCTCCGCCCCTTCTCACACTTCCAGTCCACTCACACCCACACTCCGCCCCTTCTCACACCCCCAGAGCACTCACACCCACACCACGCTCCGCCTCCTCTCACACTCCCAGTCCACTCACACCCACACTCCGCCCCTTCTCACACCCCAGTCCACTCACACCCACACCACGCTCCGCCTCCTCTCACACTCCCAGTCCACTCACACCCACACTCCGCCCCTTCTCACACCCCCAGTCCACTCACACCCACACTCCGCCTCCTCTCACACCCCCAGTCCACTCACACCCACACCACGCTCCGCCTCCTCTCACACTCCCAGTCCACTCACACCCACACTCCGCCCCTTCTCACACCCCAGTCCACTCACACCCACACCACGCTCCGCCTCCTCTCACACTCCCAAACCGCCCCATCCAAAACCCACACTCCGCCCCTTCTCACACTCCCAACCCTCCCCACTCCACGCTCCGCCCCTTCTCACACTCCTGCCCTTCCCGATCTCAAACCTACACTCCGCCCCTTCTCACGCTCCCAACCGCCCCATCCCACACCACACTCCGCCCCTTCTCACGTTCCTAACCCGCCCCATCCCAAACCCACACTCCGCCCCTTCTCACGTTCCTAACCCGCCCCATCCCAAACCCACACTCCGCCCCTTCTCACGCTCCCAACCCGCCCCATGCTAAACCCACACCACATTCCGCCCCTTCTCACGCTCCCAACCCGCCCCATGCTAAACCCACACCACATTCCGCCCCTTCTCACGCTCCCAACCCGCCCCATGCTAAACCCACACCACATTCCGCCCACACTCCGCCCCATCCCAAACCACGCTCCGCCCCTTCTCACGCTCCCAACCGCCCCATCCCAAACCACGTTCCGCCCCTTCTCACACTCCTACCCCGCCCCATCCCAATCCCACGCTCCGCCCCTTCTCACACTCCCACCCTCCGCAAATCTCACTAGCATAGGCGATTAAATGTTTTTTGTCTGATTTTCAATTACTGCAAGCCCTGAATTATTAACTTGGTTCTGCAATTTGTCCCTGCAATGTGTCCACGGATGACTGTACACACTATCCAATGTCTACAAACAGTTGATGCAATATGACGCAAGCCTGACACCAATCTCCACATCTGTTTTTACCTGGAGGCAAGGCAAGGCCACACAAACACTTCAGGTGATATGTGCTTGCTTGTATACACAATGAAGTATGGCTGATACTATGGAATCCTAGAAGGATCCTGAGCAGTTGCTAAAATTTGCTAATCAAAATATAGCACTGCTTAGCAAAATATAGCATGAGCTTAATCGTTTGTGCGCATCATCATTTTTGCATAAAAAATTCCCTCTGTAGTAGCAGTATAGGTATATAAATCTGGCTCCTGTGGAGTTGCGGCCGAATCCCCATCATCTATACTACTCCATCCCGAAAAATACTGTTATTTTCCTTATTTTCACTGCCACCCTCTGGGTCCGCACATGGACTATAATGTAAACTGTAATCGAAATATATTGATTTGCATGAAATCAAATAACCTGTCTCTATTGGCGACTGGGAAATAACAGTGGTCAGTCCTTGGTCATCCTGTTTCAAATGAAAGCAACTTTTCACTGTTAATTAATCAGTTAATAAACAAGTCTGATGTCGGTTTCTAGCCTTACATATTCAGGCCCCGGCGTTGTAGACACATACCTACCATGAATACTACGCTAATTAATGGTTTCACATGTTTTCTGAATGCACACGCCGTTCACAGGCGGTGGTCAAGCTTTGTCCAAGACGGATAAGCTCGTTAACGCCACACACGAACTATCCCGGGCATGATAATTACGTCTGATGTGTAACGAGCTCACATATTAGTCGCATTGCCATGATAATACTGATTGTTTCCACATATCATGTGATTCTTGGCCTACCTGTTATGGTGACGGGTATGGCCTTCTATGCGACACAGGATGAAATTATAGAGACCGTACATGTTTAACAATAATCTTCCATTACATGCTGACTGATTTAAAAGCTTATGTATTTAAGAGAATGGTATTCCGACTTGATATTTACCCTGTCAGATCATTTTACAAACAGTACATTTTTTAACGAATTAAGGAAACACAGAGAAGCAAATAAATAAAATATAAGCGATCAAAACCTTTACTTATTCTTAAGAAATATTTGCTAAAGCAGAGCAGATTGTACGATTCCAACAATATCATAAACATGTGTATATGAATCACGATCAAATGGTGATACTAGGTGTGACATGGTGAGTCTATTCGGTAAACGATGGCTCGAAACTGGCTAGCGAACGGCTTTGTCTGCTCAAACGACTAATAATAAAAATAATAATAATAATAAATGCATCTGTACGCTCGTACAGCGCAGCATTCACTGTGCATAAGTGCCATGTGCGCAACACAGGTAGTCGGAGGCCTCTCTTGCTTGTATCTCTCTGGTCACTGGATTGTCTGACCCAGACCGCCGACATATAGCTAGACTGTTGCAGAATGCGGCTTAAACAGCAAACTAGGCTGAACTCTGTCTCCGAAACACTGCAAACGTTTGGTCACATAATGGCTTTACAATATCAGCGTTGCATGTGACGGGTGCCGCCGGTGGGGCAGGATACGCTCACCTTTTCGCGAACACCTGGTGTCATCACTATTTGATAGTGATTCATAAACACATGCTCATGATCAAGTCAGAATCGGACAATCGATTACGCGCTTGGCAGAGTTTTCTTATAAACATGGAAAGGATTTGTCGCTTTTACTACTCCAACAGATAGGCTCGGCATGGATATTAATAGTATGCAAAAATAACAAATAACTCTAACACGTGACCAACTGAATATTTTAAATCTGTTATTTGACGACTTAATAGGTGGTTTGTGCAGTCCGACAGAATGACGTTAATTTTTCAAAATAGTTTCTTATATATTCACCAAGTTCTAGAATGCCAATCAAACAGTCACGTAGCCTCGGTACACAATACCTATACGCGGTTTCTGGCTTTGTCTGAGTCATTCGTGTTCTGTGTATTCGTTTATGTAAAGTCAAACATTGAAATATCTTCATCGTAGTTTGACCCCAATAATGTGGCTCTAAGTTAGTTGGATAAGTTAAATCAAATTGCCAGACACCTAACTGGATCTGGTAGTCTTGCCCCTGTCTATATCACTGTGGGTGCTAATGACAAGACGCGCGCATCTTATCCCTTGCACCTGCTTTCACACACCTGTCAATTGTTCAATCTAACTATATTGATTATTTCATCATTAAAATAGATGTTCATAATTAACCGATGTTGCCACACAGAATTAACCTTTCTTGTGTATGTACGACAACTTGTCAAAACGTGTTGAATATACGTAATCAAACATAGGCTCTATTACGTGAAGGTGTATTCAGCACAGTTGTGGCATCGTCAAGACAATAAGTCATTAAGGTTCTTATAGGGATTACAAGGTGTGTTAGAATACCACACTGTATGTGTATTACACTTGAGTTTTCTATTACACTCCTACCCGACAACCGTTGTTATTGTCCAGGAAAATGTTCTGCTTGATGTAGTGTATATGTGTACATGTCTGACGGTATGCTCCCTAACAGGTTCTCCCCGGCATCCAATGATTAATATATGGGTAACTGCTCTCGCAGACAATTCTATACGACGCAAAGTAGACCTACTTTTCCACCCCATCGCATGGTACTTTCAATTGCGGAGATGGCAAAATCCATATTCTCTGAGATAGTTCTACATCTACACAGACAGCATGCATGTGTGTAGATGAATCGATATACTATTAGATAAATCTACATGTATATAGATAGCATGCATGTGTGTAGATAAATCGATATACTATTAGATAAATCCACATGTATATAGATAGCATGCATGTGTGTAGATAAATCGATATACTATTAGATAAATCTACATGTATATAGATAGCATGCATGTGTGTAGATAAATCGATATACTATTAGATAAATCTACATGTATATAGATAGCATGCATGTGTGTAGATAAATCGATATACTATAAGATAAATCTACATGTATCTAGATAGCATGCATGTGTGTAGATGAATCGATATACTATAAGATAAATCTACATGTATATAGATAGCATGCATGTGTGTAGATAAATCGATATACTATTAGATAAATCTACATGTATATAGATAGCATGCATGTGTGTAGATAAATCGATAAAGTATAAGATAAATCCACTTGAACACAAACAGCGTAGCATGTGTGTATATATAATACAATAGATAGATAGATAGATAGAGAGAGAGAGAGATAGATAGACAGACAGACAGACAGACAGACCTACCGACAGACAGACAGACAGAGGTAGATAGATAGATAGATAGATAGATAGATAGATAGATAGATAGATAGATAGATAGATCTACATGTATATAGATAGCATGCATGTGTGTAGAGAAATCGATTAACTATAAGATAAATCTACATGTAATAAAATAACACGTATGTGTGTAGATAAATCGATATACTATAAGATAAATCTACTTGAACATATTCGTGAAACCGGTTGAGTAAATATACACCTCGATCAAAAATCAAAAGCCGAGCAGAATAAGAGTATTTTTTTACTATGATACATATTTAGTGAGATAGATAATGTTTCTAAATATTTATAATATATATTTAGAGAGAGAGATTTTTTTATATAAATACTATATATTAAGAGAGAGAGAAACAGAGAGCGATAGTTTTATTTTGTCCTATATAACAGTTTGGTTGTACAATATTGCCTGTATCGTATGCCCTTCATAAATGTTTTAATGTTCTAAACCATTACAATTGTAACAACCTCTCTCAATTATCCCCACTTTACTTCTATTATATAATCTAAACATCAATGTACAGTACGTGCATCGTGTCATCTTCAGTAGCATTAACAGTCAGCGGGAACGTGTCAGGCCTCTAGTTCTACACAAAGTCCACATGTGAGGATCGAATGACCGGATACAGACAGGGGTACACTTGACCGTCTGTATTGATCACCCAGGATTACCGCCACACAACGCAGCTATTGAATAAGTAACTGCCCACAGCATCTGTTCATCTCGTGTTCCTGCCAGGCCGTCATCTATTGATTTCAGGTGTGGAAAATGTACATAATTAATTAGCACGATCGAGTTGATATCGAATTCTGTATGGAGGCTAGTTGTACTCGGTGTTGTTGTGGAGTTGCCACACTGGTGGCTTCACCTGCTATCTTCATCCCATAATTCCCTCATAACTTCTACATTAACTTCATTATTATTATTTACAGATTAAAATACAAAACGCAGCAAAGAGGGCTTGGGTGATCCTGGCACAGTCAGGCTGGTTAGGCTCATCATCAGCTCAGGGCCCTTGCCCCCTCTACACGCAGCCCAGACAGCGAATGGGACTTCTCCAAGGAAGCGCTACCTTGTCAAACCCACCCAAAACTTTTCGGAGAATGTGAGGTGAGGTGAAATTGGGTTTAACGTCGCGTCCAAGATTATTGCACTTATATATAGCGACGTGCATGCACGTGTATGTGTGTGTGTGGCTGCTTGTACTAGTCCGGACTGATGCCGATTTATAGTGCTAGCTCACTGAGATACCATGCCGCAGTTTAACATGAATACCTCACTCAGACACAGTATACTGACTCCGAGCCGACCAGTCCTTGTTTTAGCCCCTTAATGCCGAGCGCCAGACAGGGTAACAACAAGTACAATCTTTTAACGTCTTTTTGTATGACGCGGCCCGGGATCGAACCCTGGACCTTCCGCTCTCCGGGCGGACGCTCTACCACAAGACCACGGAGGCGGTCTCTCGGAGAATGTGAAGACTCCCCAACACTGCAGCCTTCTGCATTACCCAGATTGTCAGAAGGGCTGTATTCCTGGTAGCAAACCTGGGCACTCTCCCAATGTCAGTCAACAGATTGGGAGGTACCAAACCTAAGGAACCGAGAACAATGGGGAGTCGGACAACTTGGTACTTGGGATGCAAGTGTGACATTTCGAAAGCGAGGTCTGCATATTTGCCATGTATTTTCTCAATCTTGTCAATCACATTAGTGTCAAAGGGGACAGAAAATTCAATGAGTGAAATGATTTCATTGAAATGATTCATTTTAAAAAAGGACAAGATCAGATATGTTGGCCTGGATATGTCTGAGGCCGTATACGGCCTATTCCAAAGTGTGTGCGTGTGTGTGTGTGTGTGTGTGTGTGTGTGTGTGTGTGTGTGTGTGTGTGTGTGTGTGTGTGTGTGTGTGTGTGTGTGTGTGTGTGTGTGTGTGTGTACTCACTCCGGTTTCATAGTGCCAGCGCACTGAGATACCACGCTGTACTTCAACATGGATAACCACCTGAGACACGGTCTACTGACTCCAAACCGACCAGTCCTTGTTTTATCCCTTTCATTGCAAACACTGTAATCCGATCTTTTCTTTTGGGTGTACGTCAGCCTGTCATTATGCACAAGGAATCATAATGGTAATAACAATACACTTGAAGGAGTCATTGCTCATTGTTATACTAATACATGTACATGTACTACAGGAGTGTACATGATCATTAAGCTGACGAAGCCTTCGTCAAGGTCGGCTTAACATGATTTCATTCGTAATTGTAATAAAGAGATTACTATAACTCTCTTTGATCGTGTAACACTCTTGACTTGAGTCAACCATTACACCCCCGATGGGATTGTGTTGCTTGTAGTACATGTACCCAACGCTGGCAGCATTATATAGATCGTTAAGTACTGAAGAAGACGTTGAATGTGCTATTGAATATATCACGATACAAAGTCTACATTTGTCCTTCATCAAATTAAAGAAATTCGACACCTAGGTTTGTCCTTTGAAGCGAACTAGATTTTAGTGGATATAAAAATTATTTGCTTTGTATTCGGAAACATAATCTTCTTTCTCCCATTTTTTTAAAGGTTGCCTAGTGGTTAAAGTATTCGCTCGTCACATCTGAGTCACGATTTTGATTCTCTACATGGGTAGAAAGTGTGGAAGCCCATTTCCGATGTCCCCCCCCCCCCCCCGTGATATTGTTGGAATGTTGCTAAAAGAGGCGTAAAACCAAACTCACTCACTTTTTTCTTTTGAGGTAAGGTGAGGTGAAATGGGGTTTAACGTCACATACATGATTATTGCACTTATTTGGCGATGTGCAAGCACGTGTGTGTGTGTGTGTGTGTGTGTGTGTGTGTGTGTGTGTGTGTGTGTGTGTGTGTGGCTGCTTGTACTAGTCCGATTTAAAGTGCTAGCACACTGAGATACTATGTCGCAGTTTAACATGAATACCCCACTCAGACACAGTATACTGACTTCGAGCCGACCAGTCCTTGTTTTGGCCCCTTAATGCCCAGCGCCAGACAGGGTAACAACAAGTACCATATATTATCGTCTTTTGGTATGATGCGGCCAGGTATCGAACCCCGGACACTCCACCATTAGACCACGGAGGCGGTCTTTTCTTTTGAGACTGATGAGAGTAATACTATCGCCACGTCTGCCGTCATCAATCTATACCTCAGTTCACCCTTTTTATTTATCATAATAATTTTTCCATAAAACATATTCATTATTGTTGTAGATTTTATGCTTGCCGTGTTAACAGTAGAAGTCATATCCCTGTTCACACCGACAAACTATAATAGTCGCTCACGTAGGCAAATGTAGGCGGCCCCTGATGATCGGGTTGCAGTTGGTCTTCAGCAACCCATGCTTGTCGTAAGAGGCGACTGACGGGATCGGGTGGTCAGGCTTTCTGACTTGGTTGATGCATGTTATCATATCCCAGTTTCGTAGATCGATGCTCATGGTGTCAATCACTAGATTGTCTGGTCCAGACTCGATTATTTACAGACCGCCGTCATATAGCTGGAATATTGCGGAGTGCGGCGTTAAACAACAAACAAACAAACAATCGTCTGGCAACACGGGCTCTGTCGGATCAACCTGCAGGCCAATGCTTGTTACCTAACACTGATAACGAGAATGAAATTGATTTATCTACAACCCCGGCATCAGCTGTCACACGCTGATTCATACTCCCGAATCACACTACAAAACAGTACAGTACAAAACACTGTTAACAGGACTCCAACGTCACAGCTCTGACACAATAGCCACTCAGTAGTATCGGATTAAATTTCCATGAAAAGGTCCTGCCCGTTAAAGTGGAACGGTGTTACTGTGCATTCATACATAAGACTACAGACAATTGATTTTGACGTGGCGATCACTAGGCTCACGTGACTGGAGGAAGCCAATGGGTGTGCGTGGAGATCGTGAGAACAACCCCCTGCGTTAATCAAGTCCCCATTTACCTGGTAGGTACTAATTAAACTGCTTCTCTTCCGTTACCTGTACCTGCACGCATTCAAGAACCGGTAACCAAGGGATTGTTTTTATCCACACCTATACAGCTAGGGATTCGAGGCTTGTATCACAACGGCTTGAAATCTTGTCAGGAGAAGTACGTGGTTCTTACCACCTATACAACTAAGGATTCGAGGCTAGTATCACAACGGCTTGAAATCTTGTCAGGAGAAGTACGTGGTTCTTACCTGTTAACAGGATTTCTTTATAGTTGTTTGGTTTCTGAAATCCTTTCTTGTGCTGTGTCAAGAACGCTACCGAAGAAACAAAAAAAACTATTTTGGATCGTTTGTGTTTTATCCAAGTCGGAGTGTACAATGTGACCATCTAATCCTGTGAGTTTTTATATATTTTTATAAAAAAAACATTGTAAATATATTACAACAAGAGACCGTGTATTTAAAACAACTGACGCAGTCCAGTAAGTCGGATTAAGTGCTTAGGAAAGATGGGTATTCCTCACTGTGGAAACGTTTTGGGTAAGATGGATATTGCAGTTACCCTTGTGTTTATCGTGCTTGTGAATCACGCTGTCAGGACTAAACAGTCAGCTTCCGTGTCAGATATATCAATGACTATGAGTGACATGTCTACTGTGTCAGAGACGGGATCTATGTCACTCCCCTCCCAGATGGCGAGCTACGACTCATCAGCTAGTCTTGATAGTAGTGGTATGTCATTGACGTATTCCATGGACTCGTCATCCAGTAGTGTAGATATGAGTAGCATTTCAGGTATATATGCTAGTGACACTTCGAGTTACGTCATGGGAAGCCAGGATTCTTCAAGTATGTGGGGCAGCGATTCATCGTCAATGACGGTATCAACAGACATGATGGCAAGCATCTCTCAAAACACCATCAGCACGGTGTCGTCTCCTGGAGACTATTCGATGTCAAGTGACCCAAGCATGATGCCCAGTATGTCATATGGAAGTTCCATGTCAAGTGACCCTAGCATGATGCCCAGTATGTCATATGGAAGTTCCACAATGTCAAGTGACTCGAGCATAATGCCCAGTATGTCATATGGAAGTTCTATGTCAAGTGACCCTAGCATGATGCCCAGTATGTCATATGGAAGTTCCATGTCAAGTGACTCGAGCATAATGCCCAGTATGTCATATGGAAGTTCCATGTCAAGTGACCCAAGCATGATGCCCAGTATGTCATATGGAAGTTCCATGTCAAGTGACCCAAGCATGATGCCCAGTATGTCATATGGAAGTTCCATGTCAAGTGACCCAAGCATGATGCCCAGTATGTCATATGGAAGTTCCATGTCAAGTGACTCGAGCATGATGCCCAGTATGTCATATGGAAGTTCCATTTTAAGTGACTCGAGCATGATGCCCAGTATGTCATATGGAAGTTCCATGTCAAGTGACCCAAGCATGATGCCCAGTATGTCATATGGAAGTTCCATGTCAAGTGACTCGAGCATGATGCCTAGTATGTCATATGGAAGTTCCATGTCAAGTGACTCGAGCATGATGCCCAGTATGTCATATGGAAGTTCCATGTCAAGTGACCCAAGCATGATGCCCAGTATGTCATATGGAAGTTCCATGTCAAGTGACTCGAGCATGATGCCTAGTATGTCATATGGAAGTCCCATGTCAAGTGACTCGAGCATAATGCCCAGTATGTCATATGGAAGTTCCACAATGTCAAGTGACCCCAGCATGATGCCCAGTATGTCATATGGAAGTTCCACAATGTCAAGTGACCCTAGCATGATGCCCAGTATGTCATATGGAAGTTCTATGTCAAGTGACCCAAGCATGATGCCCAGTATGTCATATGGAAGTTCCATGTCAAGTGACCCAAGCATGATGCCCAGTATGTCATTTGGAAGTTCAATGTCAAGTGATTCGAGCATGATGCCCAGTATGTCATATGGAAGTTCCACAATGTCAAGTGACCCTAGCATGATGCCCAGTATGTCATATGGAAGTTCCATGTCAAGTGACTCGAGCATGATGCCCAGTATGTCATATGGAAGTTCCATGTCAAGTGACCCTAGCATGATGCCCAGTATGTCATATGGAAGTTCTATGTCAAGTGACCCCAGCATGATGCCCAGTATGTCATATGGAAGTTCCATGTCAAGTGACTCGAGCATGATGCCCAGTATGTCATATGGAAGTTCCACAATGTCAAGTGATTCGAGCATGATGCCCAGTATGTCATATGGAAGTTCCACAATGTCAAGTGACCCAAGCATGATGCCCAGTATGTCATATGGAAGTTCCATGTCAAGTGACCCCAGCATGATGCCCAGTATGTCATATGGAAGTTCCACAATGTCAAGTGACTCGAGCATGATGCCCAGTATGTCATATGGAAGTTCCACAATGTCAAGTGACCCAAGCATGATGCCCAGTATGTCATATGGAAGTTCCACAATGTCAAGTGACCCTAGCATGATGCCCAGTATGTCATATGGAAGTTCCATGTCAAGTGACCCAAGCATGATGCCCAGTATGTCATATGCAAGTTCTATGTCAAGTGACTCGAGCATGATGCCCAGTATGTCATATGGAGGTTCTATGTCAAGTGACTCGAGCATGATGCCCAGTATGTCATATGGAAGTTCCATGTCAAGTGACCCCAGCATGATGCCCAGTATGTCATATGGAAGTTCCATGTCAAGTGACTCGAGCATGATGCCCAGTATGTCATCGTCATCACCACTGGCTAGTTCCTCGTCAATGCCACAAATGTCGTCGTCATCACCAGCGACTAGTTCTTCTTCTGCGCCACCAATGTCGTCGCCGTCACCACTGGCTAGTTCCTCATCAATGCCACCAATGTCATCGTCATCACCACTGCCAAGTTCCTCATCAATGCCACCAATGTCATCGTCATCACCACTGGCAAGTTCCTCATCAGTGCCACCAATGTCGTCGTCATCACCACTGGCTAGTTCCTCATCAATGCCACAAATGTCGTCGTCATCACCACTGCCAAGTTCCTCATCAATGCCACCAATGTCGTCGTCATCACCACTGCCAAGTTCCTCATCAATGCCACCAATGTCGTCGTCATTACCACTGGCAAGTTCCTCATCAATGCCACCAATGTCGTCGTCATTACCACTGGCAAGTTCCTCATCAATGCCACCAGTGTCGTCGTCATCACCACTGGCTAGTTCCTCATCAATGCCACCAGTGTCGTCGTCATCACCACTGGCTAGTTCCTCACCAATGCCACCAATGTCGTCGTCATCACCACTGGCTAGTTCCTCATCAATGCCACCAATGTCGTCGTCATCACCACTGGCAAGTTCCTCATCAATGCCACCAATGTCGTCGTCATCACCACTGGCTAGTTCCTCATCAATGCCACCAGTGTCGTCGTTATCACCACTGGCAAGTTCCTCATCAATGCCACCAATGTCGTCGTCATCACCAGCGGCAAGTTCCTCATCAATGCCACCAATGTCGTCGTCATCACCAGCTGCTAGTTCCTCATCAATGCCACAAATGTCGTCGTCATCACCAGCGGCTAGTTCTTCTTCTGCGCCATCGATGTCGTCGTCATCACCACCGCCTAGTTCCTCATCAGTGCCACCAATGTCGTCGTCATCACCACTGGCAAGTTCCTCATCAATGCCACCAATGTCGTCGTCATCACCAGTGGCTAGTTCCTCATCAATGCCACCAGTGTCGTCGTCATCACCACTGGCTAGTTCCTCATCAATGCCACCAATGTCGTCGTCATCACCACTGGCTAGTTCTTCTTCTGCGCCACCAATGTCGTCGTCATCACCACTGCCAAGTTCCTCATCAATGCCACCAATGTCGTCGTCATCACCACTGGCTAGTTCCTCATCAATGCCACCAATGTCGTCGTCATCACCAGCTGCTAGTTCCTCATCAATGCCACCAATGTCGTCGTCATCACCAGCTGCTAGTTCCTCATCAATGCCACCAATGTCGTCGTCATCACCAGCTGCTAGTTCCTCATCAATGCCACCAATGTCGTCGTCATCACCAGCGGCTAGTTCCTCATCAATGCCACTAATGTCGTCGTCATCACCACTGGCAAGTTCCTCATCAATGCCACCAATGTCGTCGTCATCACCACTGGCAAGTTCCTCATCAATGCCACCAGTGTCGTCGTCATCACCAGCTGCTAGTTCCTCATCAATGCCACCAATGTCGTCGTCATCACCACTGGCTACTTCTTCTTCTGCACCACCAATGTCGTCGTCATCACCACTGGCAAGTTCCTCATCAATGCCACCAATGTCGTCGTCATCACCAGCTGCTAGTTCCTCATCAATGCCACCAATGTCGTCGTCATCACCAGCGGCTAGTTCCTCATCAATGCCACTAATGTCGTCGTCATCACCACTGGCAAGTTCCTCATCAATGCCACCAATGTCGTCGTCATCACCACTGGCAAGTTCCTCATCAATGCCACCAGTGTCGTCGTCATCACCAGCTGCTAGTTCCTCATCAATGCCACCAATGTCGTCGTCATCACCACTGGCTAGTTCTTCTTCTGCACCACCAATGTCGTCGTCATCACCACTGGCAAGTTCCTCATCAATGCCACCAATGTCGTCGTCATCACCACTGGCAGGTTCCTCATCAATGCCACCAGTGTCGTCGTCATCACCAGCTGCTAGTTCTTCTTCTGCACCACCAATATCGTCGTCATCACCACTGGCAAGTTCCTCATCAATGCCACCAATGTCGTCGTCATCACCACTGGCAGGTTCCTCATCAATGCCACCAGTGTCGTCGTCATCACCAGCTGCTAGTTCTTCTTCTGCACCACCAATGTCGTCGTCATCACCACTGGCAAGTTCCTCATCAATGCCACCAGTGTCGTCGTCATCACCAGCTGCTAGTTCTTCTTCTGCACCACCAATGTCGTCGTCATCACCACTGGCAAGTTCCTCATCAATGCCACCAGTGTCGTCGTCATCACCAGCTGCTAGTTCTTCTTCTGCGCCACCAATGTCGTCGTCATCACCACTGGCTAGTTCCTCATCAACAGCCCCAATGTCGTCCTCACCAGCGGCTAGTTCCTCGTCAACACCACTGGCTAGTTCCTCATCAACACCACCAACATCATCGTCAACACCAGTGCCTAGTTCCTCGTCAACACCAGTGGGAGATTCCTCGTCAACACCACAAACGTCATCGTCAACACCAGCGGCTAGTTCCTCGTCAACAGCCCCAATGTCATCGTCAACACCAGCTGCCAGTTCCTCGTCAACAGCCCCAATGTCATCGTCAACACCAGTGGCTAGTTCCTCGTCAACAGCCCCAACGTCATCGTCAACACCAGCTGCCAGTTCCTCGTCAACAGCCCCATTGTCATCGTCATCACCAGCTGAAACATCAACGGCATCTCAAGATTCTCTATCAGCATCCGCAACAAGCACACCCTCTACACCAGCAACGTCATCAGCATCGTCTACCATAGCACCGGGATCAACGGAAGCGTCTGCTACTGCAACCACATCCACAGAAATAATGCCATCAACCACAATGATGACATTAACATCCACGGTCGCTGACACGTCAACCTCTGTAGCCATCTCCCCATCTTCTGTGTCAGTCGTCCCTTCGTCATCAATTGTCATAGACTTCAGCGGTTTCTACGGCTGCTTCCAACAACGAGGCATCAACTTCTTGGCCAAGTATGAAGTCTACAACAAAGTATACTGTGCTGCTACCACGATCCCTGCAATTGGAGGTAAACTAGCAAACCTTACCCTCCCGGATGGCAATGTGACAACCATAGACTTAAGTCCCGTGTCGTCATCTGTACTTGCTACCGCTAGTGCCGCTCTCTCAAGCAGCAGCCCAAACTGTTCAGCGTATGACTTTAGCGGACAATCCAATGCAGAAATACTATCTGGTCTCCAAACAGATGTTCAAGCAGCAATAACGTTCTTCACTTCTCAAGCTTCCACCGAAGTAGATCAGGCAGCATTGTGTGGCGTCAACGTCCTCGGCAGCCAAGCATCGACGTACACCAGCACCATCGACACATACAAGACAGCTGCCAAGGCTCAGATAGCGGAGTTCAAGACGTACTTCGAGGCCCTGCTGGCTGCACTTAAGGAAGGTGAGTGTTATCTGTCTTCTAAAACTTGGGCTAATATACTCGGTAAGGCATCTTGGTTGAATTGTGTATATTATACTAATTGTGCTATTACAAACTGACCATTTGATGACCCAGTGGTATAGCAAAGGGAAGAGGGTGGGGTTGGTGGTGTATCTGTCATATCATCTAACGAACAATCTCACTGAAAACACATTATTTCTGGAACAAAGAATGCCTTTATTTGGCAAAAATAACATCATTCTATCATCCAAACTGTCTTCACCGTGCGATGTCGCTTGGGTCACATCAAAGCGATATCTTCTAGGAGTTTACATTTCAATGCTTTTCCATCCATTGTGATGTCACCATTGCAATTAAATGAAAACGCTAATCTCTCTGCCACTGAAGTTGGTTAGCTGCTTACACTAACGACACTGGCTATTATTGTTAACAATCTAAAATAGTAGGAAGAATGATTTGGATAATAATTAAAACTTCACCCGAAAAACGTTTGATTTCAAACATATTAGCGATATATTTGATGCCAAAAGACATTCGGTTGAGATTCATTATTTATCATACAAAACCGCCATTCTTAAGCCCCCGTTATACTATCAAAAACTTTGATTAAAACCTGATCAAAGTCCATTTTGACCACGTTTTTGATAGTTTAACATGCTGGTAAAAAACTTTGCCAAATGTTTTGACGGACTTTGATGGAATAGAAACCGATCCTATTTCTCGTCAAACTGTGATCAAAGTTTGATGACGTTGATTACATTATGACAATCAGAACAAGGAACATTTACCCCTTTTCAACCGGAAGTGCATAGAAACAAGTCAAAATGAGACAACTATTTTGGACTGAAGAGATGTTGGAAGAATTAATTCATTTGGTTCAACAACGAGCAGCCATTCTCGGGACGAAATCTGACTTCCCCGACGCCGCATTCTCAACAGGGCAATACACAAAATACATATGAAAACATTCTTTGTCAGTAGCATCCATCATGGCAAGATAATTCCCCCCAAAGCTTTGACGTTTGATCAAGTTTTTCATCAAAGTATTTGATAGTGTAACGGTGGCTTTAGACTTATCGCTACAGTGAAACTGAATCACAAGGCTTTGCAGACTAATAATATGACGTCATCAGTTACTATGACGTCACAATCAAATGACATCACTAATCATTAAGATTTTATTCCAAAAATGATTAATTACGTGACGTTTCTTAAAGGCGTTGTGTCACTGACAAGTAATAGACGTACAGATATGCTATGTATGCCCATCAGTGGAATCCTTAGTCCCTGGAACAACCAAGCTATAATCAAACAGGTGTACGTACGATGCGACCATGAAGACATAAAACAGATTCTCTCTACACTAATGAATCCCATCTTTGTTTTATTACTAAACTTCACATTTGTTCAGTCAATCGGTTATTGATAAAAATGTGATTGGACGCTACAGATAAATGTCAATATGATAATAGTGAACCTATGTCAAACCACAGGGGAAACATTAATACAATATTACCACACGATTCCATTTTATCTGGATTTGAAACCCTGCATCAATAACGCCTAATACCCCAGAGCCCTTTTGTTAAGCTGTGGTAATCGTCAAGTATTTAGACATCTACTTACTGAGACTTTACTAAATGAATCAAATATAGATATAATTGAAAAATAATACATGATTTATTTCGAATTGTTAGACTACCTCAGATGTTGAGCAATGTTTTATTTCTGCCGCACCATGCCCTGGTACAGAACAACACGTGATCAACAAGTAAACCAAGGTTAAATGTACAGCAAGGTCTCTGAAAGTAGTTGTTCAAAACATAAAACATACTATTGTATACAAATTAATCAATAAAAGAGTAGAAGTGCAAACCTGGGGTACTTATATGGGTCCATTGTACTTCTTTTGAATAACGCTCAGTTTTGCGTTCATTGTAAGACCTTTCTTTTAAACAAGAGTTTTGATTGATATAATCTGTATCAGACTAATACTTAAACAAAACTAAAGGGAACTTTCACGATGTTTATAAATAAAAAAGGGCAATAATTATGTACATAATCATAATATATAAAAATCAAGAAATAACATATAAGTGATAACTCTCTACTAAAAGTAGAGTCCACTGTTCGATTCCGACTATATCACAAACATGTGTTTAGGAATTACTTTCACAACGGGATTAACCAAGTGTTCGCGAAAAGGTTATCGCATCCTGCTCCACCGTTGGCAGAGCATATATTAAACTAAAGTATAATCTTCACAGACATTACATTACCGAGATTTTTTATGTCTGAATATGTTTTCAGCTACAAACGATATACTAACCTGGGTTTCTTTCTTCAGTATTTATTTTACAAACGTCCAGCACAGTATACCGACATTCACCTTTCATAAATTATATTTCGAACCCGAGGTTCCAACAAATGTACCATACCTGGTGTCATCGCTGATTTTTAGTGATCAATATACTTTTACGACAATTTTGCCTTTTGCGCCCAACTGATAATCTAAATGAGCTATTCTACGGCGTTGCCGTTTTATATTTACTGTATATTTACCAAACAGCTCACTGAAGCTTTACGTGACGAATGTTCCTATTTGAGTCTGTAATAGCGCAATGTCATGTCACATGTGTCTTACGAAGTACTTCTTTGATCCTTCTACAGTGATTCATTCACATACTTTTCACCGCTACAGTCTCCACTTTGTTGTAACAAAATAATCGTTTTAAACATTCCGTTGGCGATAAATATTAACTCTGAGTTTTTGGTTTGCAAATATCAAAATCTCATACTAATTTCAGTCTGTCGAACACCGACAACAGCAGCGATCTGGAAAGTTTTACCTGGAACATAAATGGATATGGATATGCAACACTATCACTGTTTCCAAAGTTTCCACACATTCCTGCTGTTTATAATACAAGTTATTTAATATCGAGGTTATTTATATATGCCCTGGGTGATGTGGCAATTGCCATGGAAACAGCCTTGGCTCAATGACAAACACGTGTTGTTATTAATGGGAGTCATGTGTCGCATCGATATTGACATGTCTGTCTCATCGATCGTTTGATCAAGAACCACAGCTGATATACTGAATATAGCATGTCTCTAATGAACTATCACAGTCTCTTCTACCTTGTCAATGTGGACATCAACATGACCACGACTGTATTCTCCACGACCTCGTCGTCATCATCATCATCATCATCATCAATGTAATCATATATACAATACATCTACCTACCTGGTAATGATAAAAAAACACAATGTTATGTACATTATTTGTAAATGATAGATATTTATATTTCAAGTAAAATCATGAATAAACCAATTAAGGTAGAAAGACAATTATTAAATCATAATACAACCTCTTGGAACTGGACACACACGTCCTGACTTATTTTGCAAGAATTTAATGTATTCAGTAGACAAAATAATTTTGTCATAGTGATTTGCTCAGGAACTAACAACTCACTGATAAATTATATAGAATATAAAGAATTCCATGTTAAAACTCAATTAGAATTTAAAACAAACAAACGTTATTATCTAACCGTCGTTATTTTGATAGAGTGATTCATAATTGAACAAAGGATTTGCTGCTAATTATGGCAGGGGCTGGCGAGCAGTGCGTTGCCAGGGCAATGTTGATGCGTGTGGGCGGACATGTTTGTTGTGAGATTGGAGAACTGTTGTCAGCAATCTGGGAACAAATTATTATTTAAGACTTTCCCTGCACGATTGGAAGATTCTTGTAATCTTCACAGATTTTACGGTACTTTTTCAGATCTAATTGTACTTAAAAAAAATATATACATTATATTCAAAATTATATATTATACAAAAATACTGTAGCAGCTAATTATGAGTTAAATGTTTTCACAGCATCGAAAACTGAAACACCCTAAACGGAATCTCAACCACATGGACAGAAGGTCATAAAGTAAATAATATTTTTTTACATTGGTTATAAATAGCAAGTTATGAACACATATTCGCTTCACTGTTGTTTCAAAGCAATGTCAGTACGTGCTTAGATAGGGACAATCAGGACATACCAATCCGGCGTTCATACGCCATTGTTGGTAGTGAGCTACACGACCGATACTCTCAACAGGGACACCATGTAAAGCCTGTCGGTGTTTCTTGAGTAGCCATTGTCGCATCTGACGAAGCGTTGCTAACCACTTAGCACAATGCAGTACACAAAACAGGCACGCTTGACCAAAGACCGCGAGGTGCAGACGGTGAACATAGAAAACATCATCGCCATACAATAACCAGTCTCGATTATCTGATTTTTCGTAAAAAGGCAAAATAGTTGTGAAATTTCTATGAATGGATAATTCAAAAACAGTCATACCCTAATGTTTATAACCCCGTAACTAAGTTTAATCTTTTTGTAAGAGAATTATATATAGCGGTAAAACCATTTTTGTAATCTGAACGTCGGAGACCGATATCATTTAGGGCTTTCCTCCCACATCAAGCTGACATGCCGTGATATAACTGGAATACTGTTCAAAGCGGCGTTAAAGCAAACTCACATACTCGTTTCCATAATCATAAGAAATATAATGACCATGCATAATTATATCATACGAATGGGTGACCGCGGTTCCAGGGCCCCTCATTGAAGCACATGTAACATGTGACGTCTCCTTGTGCAAGTGTACGAAATGTGCTCTGGTCACCTAGCAGTGAATGGGTACCCGGTAGGATGAGATAGCGATGTGGTTGTGAACCTTCTAGTGCCTCGCAGGCAGCTTGGATTGCATACTCCCAAGGGAGCTGAGAATGATTCTTGAGTGCACTCTGATCCAGTGACCTGGGTAATGATATGCTTTGAGCATGCCCCTGAGTGGTGCGGAAATATGCGCAATATAAATGGCCTATTATTATTATTATTATTATTATTATTATTATTATTATTATTATTATTATTATTATTTTTATTATTAAGACTGGATGTGAGACTTTAACTAGAGAATAACTAGAATGATCATCTCTCGAGTGCACACCGTCCCCCGAGTCGGATACACATGCTACCCCACCTGGTCCACCAATAGTTCTTCGAGAATGGCAACATTTGTAAGTGTGGTAAAGCATTAGGATAGATTAGCTTGTGTCTCCTTTGGCCTTGGGAAGTAGTGCTGTATGCCATTAGGTGGCAAGATTGAACCTATCAAGCAGCAGCAGGTGAACACCCATTTCCGTTTCGCAAAACCCAATTAACACCTTCTACGACAAGATATTGGGGATGGCGCAACCTTACGACTATCCTCTGTACCTCTACCACAAGGATGATATCGTGAACGTAAGCTGTAAGACCTTCGCCAAAGGCTCGGGATGAAATTCATTCATTCATTCATTCATTCATTCATTCAGGACAGATAATCTATAATTCCTCGCTTGTTATTCTCTAAATAACACAATGGAAACTGGTGTAACCAGTCTTCACAACCAATGCGTCTTACCAATACAACGTCGATGCACTTAACTTCGTGAACCACCAGTCTTCTACATGTAAAAGGATAAGCGGAAATTAACCAATCCCTTTTAATGACCAATGGAATGTTTAGATTTCCAACATCACGCCTCGCTGTCACAGCGGGACGTTGAGATACCTGTTTTTACTATGAACTAATCGGGGTAAGATAATGGTTTGGTCCAATTTTAATCATTCCCATTTCAGCTACGATGCTTAGTTTGGCCTCACGATATGCGTTTTTTGAACTTTTATTAGATGAAGTATCAATACAGATATTCGAACTTGGTAGGATTTGTTAAGGATCCCTTTGCTTCGGTGATCCGATGCAATTCCCTATTTTGACTTGTACCATATGTGCCCGGTTTTTGTCCAGGTGAAAAAATGACTTGCCTTTGCGTGTGTTTGTGACGAGTGTCATCGTTGGGGTAAAATACGAACACCTGGTGTCATCACTATTTGACACTGATTCATAAACACATGCTTATAGAGAGAGAGAGAGAGAGAGAGGGAGAGAGAGAGGGAGAGAGAGAGAGAGAGAGAGAGAGTGAGAGAGAGAGAGAGAAAAGAAAGAAAGAGAGAGTGAGAGAGAGAGTGAGAGAGAGAGTGAGAGAGAGAGAGAGAGAGAAAAAAGAGAGAGAGAGTGAGAGAGAGAGTGAGAGTGAGAGAGAGAGTGAGAGAGAGAGAGAGAGAGAGAGAGAGAGAAAAGAGAGAGAGAGTGAGAGAGAGTGAGAGTGAGAGAGAGAGAGAGAGAGTGAGTGTGAGAGAGAGAGAGAGAGAGAGAGAGAGAGAGAGAGAGAGAGAGAGAGAGAGAGAGAGAGAGAGGGAGGACTGTGAAAAAACACTCAACCTTTGTCTTTTTCCCACAAGTCATGAAAAGTCATTCGGTTTTATTATTTACTGTTATCCATATTATTAGCTCGACTACCGAGTCTGTGGTTTAGGTAATTAAAGTTCACTTCCAGATGTTTATCTATTCTTCTAATGTCTCACAATCACTTCATTGTTCCAGTGACTGGTTGTACGGGAACATTAGACTGCGCCGGTGTATGTAACGGCCAGGCTTTGTTTCACTCCACCTGCAACATCTGCTACGGTGGAACCGCCAATGTCAGTGCTGTCAGCGACTTCCTGGACTGCAATGGTAAGATATATTATGTAGATAACCGTATCATGAGCGTGTGGAATGGACATTAGCCTATTGTACAGGTGCCCCGTGAAGGCCCGGAGTAGAACAGGTCTTCATCAACCAATGCTTGCCGTAAAAGGCGACTATGTTTGTCGTAAGAGGCGACTAACGGGATCGGGTGTTCCAGCTCGCTGACTTGGTTGATGCAAGTCATCGTATCCCAGTTGTGTGGATCGATGCTCATGATGTCAATCACTGGATTGTCTGGTCCAGACTCGATTATTTACAGACCGCCGTCATATAGCTGGAATATTACTGAGTGTAGCATTAAACAAACAAACAAACGAACAAACGAACAAACTGTACAGGTAGACAGCTCGGTTAGCTGTATATTTAATTTAGCGTGTCACTAGTATGACGTCATCCCGTTCATTGTGACGTAAAACAATAAATCAGGGTGACGTCAGAGTCAGACAGAGAAATACGAAAATATCAAGCACGCTGTGGTCCCTAAAACTTGAAGTACACTTTCTTTGTCGATGTCATACACTGTGAAAATTGTCTTCACAATAACTCTCCATTTTGTAACCTATAAGTGAACAGATCATTTCTTTAGAATGACCAAGGACAACTATTGAGATAAAAGGTTTTTATCTTCATCTTGGCTGTTTCAATAGGAGTTGGATGAACCAGTCACAATCGAGTCATTGGGGTTCAAGCCACAGTCAGAATACGTTTGTCTCTTCATTTGAAAACGTTTCCATTCTATTTCTCTATGCCAAAGTCACGTGGTACAAACGTGCAACCATGTCCGCCTGAAATGTCAATCAATGTCACTGAATGAAATACATCATTATGTATAACAGTAAAATACTGACAGGAATCCACGCACCTGGAGACTATGATATTGTCATGTCTTACATACATCGCTGTAGACTGACATCGGGGTGACATAGGATACAAACTAACAAATATGATAACGCTTTTTAACTTTAAACACATGAGATGTTGCAAATTGTACAAAGTTGCCGGTGCGTTGGAATGTTCACAGCATTTTAGTCAACGTGCAGCGAGAGATTTTCGGCTAAATTGGACAGCATTGATTATTTGGCGCTGTAGGAGCTTTCAGAACTACGTACTCAAACTGTCAGGTCGATTCCTATAGAACACGTGCCCTACCAATCAATATCATCAGCATAGAGTAAGTATACTTGACGGACTCTGATGAGTCGGTGTCATTACGTTAACACAACATTGTGCAATCAGTGTTTTTAATAAAGTGCTGGTATCACTGTGTAAACTCTTGCTGTCATTGTCATAATCGACAATTACTGACAGATACTGTAGGAAAGGTAAAGCTCCCAATACGTTTGTTTGCATACAAACTGGCGACATTCCAGACTATGTTTTTCTAAAATATTTTGAATCAGTCATTCAGCCCGTTACCAAGTTTTGTGTTAAGTTTGCATGATTAGAAAACATATTCCGCAAACACTGTAACATAACAATACGAATATTTCACTTTTTTCATTTATGATTTTTTTATGACTACGTGCTTGTATCGTTATCTACCGTGAAGTTGTCCGATTTTCGATCACGAACGCTAATACAACTTAATTTCGTTTATCCGACATACTCGTTAATCCGACATAATCATATGCAACCAACCATGTCGGATTAACGGGACTTGACTGTATAATAATTGTTTATCTTAATTTGTCAATGGAATGCATGAAGATAAACGCGTCACCTTTGGCAACCTGGTGGAATACAGGCCACACGCCAGAGAGCGATACCAGCAGGAATAAACTGCCGGCCAAAACATACCAGTACATATTTGAAAACTGGATTTCATAAAAACAATTCTAAACGTTATCAAAACGTTCCTTGGTTGAAACACTAGCCGAAACATTTTAAACTCAAGGTCCAAAACACAACTTTGATACCCGTATCAAATACATCACCATCGAATAACCATTTCATTTTCTTTACGTCAAAAGGAATCTGTCGGATAATCTAGACTGATTATTCTCTTTCATTGAATATTTGTTTTTCATGTTAGAAATCATCAAATATGATAGTATACATTCTTTTACCTGACCGACAACCTTTATGGCTTAACGTTTATATTTTCAAATAAGACCAACCAGAATGTGTCATCGTATGTGTCATATGTTTTTATTTATTGTAAATGTATTGATATCGGGGCAACGTACGCTTTGTAGATATTTGTATATGTATGTCCATCCTTACAAAATGAATGAAGTGTTGTTCAAGGTCAGGCAACACCCATCTCCTCCAGTGAGGAGACTGCTCTGTGGTGGGGTCATGTCAGATTACAACCTCAATATACATTACCACCAAGGGATCAACCTTTGGTTTGTCCTAGGAAATTCTCATAAAAATAGTTATGCTTCAGAATCCTGAAAAAAAAATTAAAAGTTGTCTGCCTTTAAAATTAGATTGTTACAAGGTCATTTTGTTAAATAATATTCAGTCTGATAGTTTTATTTCCTAATATATCTGGCTTTGCACCTATAGCCGAAACATCTCTATGAGTCAAATATTATTTTCAAAATAAAAACCGTGCAACAATCCATTTTTTGTTTCAGACAACTTCATTTTCTCTCCAACAGTCAAAGCATAATATTTTTTTACAAGCATTTTCGGGGTCAACTCTTTTTTTCGATAAAATCCTAGCCCCTACCACCACCCCTTAATATCAAATGGTCATTCCCTAACTATTACTCGGTGTCTCATGGTGCAATAGAACAATCTATTCGAAAACCTGTTCCTGAACATAAAGAATGCCAATCCATTGAGAAAGCTTGGTCTTCTACGGTTGGAATAGGCACCAGGCAGGTTCCTCCTCAGTCTCCATGAACGAGTAATGAGATAAGCATTATCACGTCATCTCAGCATGATTTATGCATGACCATGGTGCAGATGGCATCGGTGCCATAGAGATGTATTCACAGATATTGTTTAATGGAATAATAAAACTGCTCAATTATGACATTCAACAACAGGCGTAATGGTGTTGTGATGTTGATCAGGCAGCAAACTATGGTAACACAGAGACAACTAGGAGAATGTTTAAATTATTAATTTGTGTTTAGGTGTTTGCTTTGTACTGACAGGAGTACGATGGAAGTCGAAAGGAAAGTGAAAACTAAATGACTCACGTCATTGACATTAAAAGCCATGCATAGTGTGAACCCAGTGTTTCAGGTACATCATAGCGTTAAACCCAACTCACTCACTCACTTAATGCGTAAGGAAAGTCCAAGGTAAGGTATGTCGTTTACTAGAGTAATAGCCGAGAGCATATGTATGAGGATGCCAACCCCGTGTTAGTACGCTGTATACCAGACTTTGTCAAGTGGCATTCCGGAAGCCTAAGAGCAGTACGCTGTATGCCAAACTTTGTCAAGTGGCATTCCGGAAGCCTCAGAGCAGTACGCTGTATGCCAAACTTTGTCAAGTGGCATTCCGGAAGCCTAAGAGCAGTACGCTGTATGCCAAACTTTGTCAAGTGGCATTCCGGAAGCCTCAGAGCAGTACGCTGTATGCCAAACTTTGTCAAGTGGCATTCCGGAAGCCTAAGAGCATTACGCTGTATGCCAAACTTTGTCAAGTGGCATTCCGGAAGCCCCAGAGCATTACGCTGGATGCCTTTAAATGTTTATCTGGTTCGCGGATGTCAATATTTCAACGTTGAATTTATGATTCGTGCAGAGAATAACAAATCAATAAAATGGTTATCCCTTAGCTTTTGAGCACGCATTGTCAGGCATTCCATGTGAAAATCCCAGAATATTATGCTATCCTTGAACACTGATATGGCCCGAGAGTTCTTAAATTGGATTCCAAGACCCAATAAGTGGTATACTTGATGGCTAGAGGGAGCAGGTTTGCACCCTCATGTATCGTGCCACTAGACCAAGGCGCGCAAGGTTTCAATGCAAACTCAAATAGTGTTAAATCCTTTTTGTAAAAACCGGGCATACATCTACCAACATCCAGTCGGATATATAACTTAGAAGCAGCAGTAATAGTAGAAAGTAGTAGTAGTAGTAGAAACAGTAGTAGTAGTAGTAGTAGCTGCAGCAATAGTAGTAGTAGTAGAAGCAGAAGCATTAGTAGTAGTAGGAGTAGTAGTAGGAGCAGCAGTAGAAACAGTAGTAGTAGTAGTAGTAGTAGCTGTAGCAATAGTAGTAGTAGTAGTAGTAGTAGTAGAAACGGCAGTTGAAACAGTAGTAGTAGTAGCTGTATCAATAATCGTAGTAGAAGCAGCAGCATTAGCAGTAGTAGAAGAAGCAATAGAAACACTAGTAGTAGTAGTAGTAGTAGTAGTAGTAGCAGTAGAAGTAGTAGCTATAGAACTACTAGTAGTAGTAGTTCTAGCTGCAGTTGAAGCAGTAGTAGTAGAAAGTAGTGGTAGTAGTAGTAGTTGTAGTTGTAGTAGTAGTTGTAGTTGTAGTAGTAGTAGTAGCTGCAGGAATAGTAGTAGTAGTAGCTGCAGTTGAATCAGTAGTAGAAGTAGTAGCAGCAGTAGTAGGAGGAGGAGGAGGAGGAGGAGAAGTAGCAACAACAATACCTTGGCAAGAAGGGTAACATTTATTTTCCCCCTCCCCAGGACAATGTCAAGGGGACGCTACCACCAACAACTGCGGGGAGTGTTACGGCGGCACCACGGGTCGCAACATCACCTACGGAGTGGACAGTTGTAACGGGCAGTGTACGACCAGGCCCGGCTACGTCACCAGCACCGACTGCAACAACGAATGTAACGGAACAGCCATCATAGACAGCTGCTCAGGGCAATGTGTCGGTGAGTAGATGTGTTTTTCTTTATTGTTATGATATTTTGATTTTTATTCTTATTATAAAACATGCACCCGGACAACAAGTCGTGTTGTATCATTATTGTGTGTGTCTTGGCGTCCTTTCCAGCTCCTTCGCTGCTCACTTGAATCAAGGTTTCAAAATGCCAATGATTCATCGTATACTTTTATGACCCATGAAGATCCGGGGTAGTATAGGTCTTCAGCTACCCATGCTTGCCGTAAGAGGCGACTAAGGGAATCGGGTGGTCAGGCTCGCTGGCGTGGTGGATGCATGTCATCGCATCCCAATTTGAGTAGATCGATGCTCATGATGTCAATCACTGAATTGTCTGGTCCAGACTTGATTATTTAAACAACAAAGTAACAAACAAATTTTAATAGATTTTAGTTAATATATTAACGCAGTAAAACCAGGACCAGAACTATGGTCCGGTAAACACAGAGATCCGAGTAAGTGAGTGTCCGGTAAAGACAGATTCCACTGCACGTGTGTTTCCACAACTCATTTGACTTCCTCATGGGCGGCTGAATCCAATACGCGAGAGCAGATAAACTGGGTTTTTTAGCACCATGTAATTTCAGACATATCGTAACTACCCACTTTTCTCACAGATCCTAATGGGACGTGTCACGTTACGCATGGCTTCCACTCATTATTTATTTTACATCATGAATATTTCTTATCTGTGTTTATATATCACATCAATCAAAACAGTTCTGTCGCTGTTAATATCAAGGCTGAAATTCGATCGTACCTTAGCGGCCAAGAATACCACAAATTGTACAATCAATCATTCAGAAAATTCAGCCCGTTGATAGCCACGATAAAAATGTCTATGAGTTTTATACAATCCTTGTTTGGATTGATGTGTCTGCCAATCATTTCCGTTCAGTGGTTTAAAATCACTTCACATGGAGAAATTATGCTTTATAAAAAAACATTCGCAAAATTGAGTAAAGAGGAAAAGCAGAAACGCAAACAACAAGCTGCGTTATTTATTTGTAATGTACCCCTCGGGCTGTGTCGTGTTGTGTCGATCTTGTATAATCTAACCTGGATCAAGGAGGACGCTTCGACCAAATCGTAGCAATATGAAATTGTGAGTCTCTAAATTATACATATTTTATCCCCCAGGGCTGCTCAATGATTTCATAAATAACAATAAAGCTGAAAACATCAACTGTGCAATACTGGGGAATTATGGAGTTTAACCCCGCTTGGGACTTTTTTAATCTCATCACAGGTGTCAGCTAAATGTGGGACACAAAAAACGAGTGACACAGGCTGTTGTCGCTTGTCACTATGAAGCTCCTAGAACAGGTAGCGTGTCGTAGCCCAAGGTCAGGATCAGGATGATACGAACATTGAAACCCACGCCCCAACGGATCCTGGTCTGACCAAGGGAAGCAACTGTTCATATCGAATTAGATCAGTAGGCCACTGTGCTTCTTTGTAAGGCCAGGTTCACACAGTGCTGATTGTGGCTCCCGTTTGAGATCAGACAGCGGTACGACACGAAAAGTGAATAAGTCGGATAACTTTCCTCAATTATCATTGTCTTAACGCAGTCGTATACGTTCGTAACAGAGTCCTACGGATCGGGAAAGGTCCAAAGAGGTCGGCCAAGCACTCCCGACAGTATGGTGCGTCCTGTAACATTCAGGAAACTCAACCGATTTTGTCTAGTCGGATTACAATCGTGACTATATCGTGACAGATTCTGCTGTATCGGATCAAAATCGTAACAATGTCCCGTGTTGTCAGGGCGGTGTCCCGTGTTGTCAGGGCGGTGTCCTGTGGATCGGGACGCTGTCGTGGTGAACGGGCATGAACTGTTCATTGCCGTTTCTTGTCGATTGAGTCCAGATTGCGTCCAGATCTTGCCGAATGCGAACGGTCTTTGTCGGTTCACTGTCCGGTCACTGTGTGATCTCTGTCGGATAACATTCGGGAGAATCGGGACGCTGTTGGCACAGGTTCGATTGTGTTTTACCATGCGAAAGATACAAATCGGATCAGATTCAGATTGAGAACGGGAGAATCGGGACGAATTCGGCTGGAAACGGCTGAATCGGGACACTTCCCGAACAATATCTCAATGTTTGTGAATTTCCCACCCGCGAATCACAGGATCTTGATCAGATTTTTGACACATTTTAATCAACAACGGCAGTAAAAATCCTGAATGTGTGACTGGTCCTTTAGAATTGACATACATTTACACTGGTGAATGAACTCTATGGACTACAAACAGAGCTCACGCTCTATTTCCTTGACGCGACATACATATGTGTAGACTGTGTCATTTCATTTCATTTCATGATTTATTTATACTGTCGACTCAGTGTGTTAAATTTCTGAAGCTTATCCAAGAATCTCCCATAATACCCCACGATTGTGAAATATCAATGACGTCATCAACACGTCCAATCACTCAGCTGCATCTGGTCCGGATCAATTTTCTTGTTTCTAAAATCACAAAACATAACTTGATATGGGGCTTCTTTACCCAACTACGACTAAATCCTAGAAATAACTATATATATTTACTTAACCTAAACATGACTAAACATAGCTTAATATGTTTACCGGAGCATTGTTTCACTGAACTAAACATGATTCAACATTACTCAGCTTAGCTAAATATGTCTTACATTGTACACTGCAAAGATTGCTGATGGCAATGGAAAAGAATTGTCGGTTTTATTTATTAACGTCACTAAATGTCATTTACTTTAATTAAACAGTGACTTAACATTCTCTAACTTTCTAAACGTGAATAATGGCGCTCGGTTACAAATTAAAATAAAAGGTATCTCCTCTACAGTGGGACTACATCAAATTTCAAGCAACAGTAGGTTTATCTTCTAAATGAATATGTCTTTCGTGAACACCTGGTGTCATCACTATTCGATAGTGCTTCATAAACACCTGGTGTCATCACTATTTGATAATGCTTCATAAACACCTGGCTTTACCACTATTTGATAGTGCTTCATAAACACATGGTGTCATCACTATTCGATAGTGCTTCATAAACACCTGGTGTCATCACTATTTGATAGTGATTCATAAACACCTGGTTTTATCACTGTTTGATAGTGATTCATAAACACCTGCTTATGATATACAGCCGAACCCCGATATCTCGAACATAGCCAGACCGTGCTGTAACTTCGACGAAACGAGGTATGGATACTCAGACAGGGTAAGAAAAAATATTATAGATCCAGAGCAAAACGATTGCATACTGGAGACATCGAAAACACAACACGTGTGACCATGACACAGTGAAATGTAATTCACAGGCAATGATCAATAACAATTGTAATAAAATATATACGGTGTTATTTCATGTAGGATTGACAAAACATCACATGCACATTATTAAGCACAGAAGCAATCTGAAATCAACCGCTTCTGAACGAGTGGCACGTGGACATTGAATGGCTCGCATCATGTTGCAGTACATAATGTTATGTCCGAAGTTCATTTGGTTCATCACCGTGCCAGCGACCTATGTGAAGTTGGATATAACAAAGTGGGTGATGCATATAAGGGTTATCGGACTGGTTGCCTTTTCAGAACAATAGACGTTTAATGTGATTACATGTATTTGGGTAAATACAAATTAGGGAATGAAAAAAGACGAAAAAGACGCATCTCATGTTTATTCAAATATAACAATGTTTAACAATTTGTATCACAATTTGACACATGTTTAGTACAGCTGTCAGTGTTCATGACAATGTAAGCAGGTGCGAGGCAGCCTCTGCATAATGGAAGACATCCATGTCAACAGTCTGCTGTCTGGGTTTCAGTAGATTCAGGCTTCTGTTAATGCCTGTGTGTTTCTTTTTCTGTGTATTGCACTTTTTTTTAACCTGCCCAGTGTTTTAACAACATCACATTGCCTGCAGGCAGCATCAAAGAAATCTATACCGTTTTCACAAAGGTCAATCTCCCGGTGAGTTATTTGTATTCAGTTTACTGAAACTTTACTTTACTAAAACCACAAAGTGCCACACTCGCCTCAAGCATGTAAAGTTAATGATAGGACATGGCAAGTAGCGTCCCGCGGTATCATTCCTTTAATTGCCTTTGATTAGCATTTTTTGATATATCAATGGACTCTATATTAAAAACAAACTCTTATGATTACGGAAAGGGCAGTGTTGGTTATTTTAACTAAATCATTCACTACGAGAGACCAAGGCTGGAAGTACACGCTGGAGGCGTCAGAGATTGCAAACTCTGAGACATGGCAAGTGTTGTGATGTGATATTCAGGTACTCCTAACAGTTGTGAGGGAAGTAGTCTGACACACTGACGTAATGTGCCTTGACAACAAGAAATAATTAGTTTGTGGAAGGATGTGTCGGGGCCGTGCATTGAAACATAGTACCTAAATCTAAAAGGTTCTGAGAAATATAACCACTGATACTGAAGGATTTTAAGATTATTTTGCTTGAAAGTCAAACCTTCAGAAAGTTCATGGGTCAATTTTCAACCTTAATATGCACATAAATACCTTAGGGAAAAAGAGAGGAGATACGTATATTAAAGAAAATCTGTTTCAGTTTGTCTAAGGCTCCGCAATTAGCTTTGCACATTTATGCCCCTTTGGCGAGCCAGGATCCTCTGATATTTGATTAGAATCCAAGATTTGCTTTTTTATGAAACTTGGTACCTTACCCCCAATCATGGGTTTCACCGAAGTGGTAAACGTGGTTTCGATACCACATAATGATGACACGACTTGATATTACTGAAGTTTGCTCAATGTGACGTCACACTCACCGATACAGTTTGTCCGAGAAACAATTCAACAACTAACGTGGAATAGTACTCATACATTGTAAACCATTTTTTCATTGTAAAATGTGTCATTTGTTACAGGTGGGTCAACGGGCAAAAGTGCTGCAGAGTTCAGAGACTGCAACAATAATTGCAACGGCACCAGTGTCAACGACACATGTGGTTTCTGTGTAGCAGCGTCGGCGGCGGCCGGCGTCACAGGGAGTCAATACAAGGACTGCAACAACGACTGCTATACGCCAGGTAAGTGAGAACGAAGCACACGTGTGATGCATATCAGTACAACATGCAGAAAAACTTCAACCATGTCTCGCGTCCCGTGAACATCCGGGTTACAATTGGTCTTCAGCAACCAGTGCTATTCGTAAGAAGCGACTAACAGGATCGGATGGTCAGGCTCCCTGATTTGGTTAATGCATGTCATCGTATCCCAGTTGCGTGAATTGATGCTCATGGTATCAATCACTGGATACACAACAAACAAAATACACAGGTTTGACATGGGTTCAATGTGTGAATACTGTTACTTAGAGGTGGAATTACGCAAGAATTTCGAGTTTCACCGAAATTGCTTTGAGCAATTCCAATTCACCTATTTAAACAATGAAGGCCAATGAAGTCATAAGTTTATGGTTAAAATGTTGACCAATCGTGCCCACTCGGCATATTCCGCTACCTATACCTCGGACAGCAAGTGCGTTTTTTATTGAACGAATTAATATCTTAACATTGACACATCAAGCATTTGTGTAGCACTTGCATGTCACCGTACCCTATGCACTGCAAGATCCTTCCGCACGAAGTTCTCACGGGCCGCCGACGTATTGTTGGAAGATTGAAGAGTGTAGCGCTAATTTAAACAACAAAAAAGACATTGTTGTCATGGGGATTTCTGTACAATAAGAACAGTCGATTTACATGCATTGTATCGTACATAAAATCAATACATTTAAATTTATATATTGACTTAAACTTGCGAGAACTGCCTTTTGAATCCAGAGTAAATTCCTGGAAGGCAGAACTTGCTGACTCCGCGTCTCGCCACTACCCGTCAATACATTCCACCGCTCTGTTAAGTGAGTAATGAGTCTCGCCACTACCCGTCAATACATGCCACCGTTCTGTTAAGTAAGTAGTGAGTCTCGCCACTACCCGTCAATACATGCCACCGTTCTGTTAAGTAAGTAGTGAGTCTCGCCACAACCCGTCAATACATTCCACCGCTCTGTTAAGTGAGTAGTGAGTCTCGCCACTACCCGTCAATACATTCCACCGCTCTGTTAAGTGAGTAGTGAGTCTCGCCACTACCCGTCAATACATGCCACCGTTCTGTTAAGTAAGTAGTGAGTCTCGCCACTACCCGTCAATACATGCCACCGTTCTGTTAAGTAAGTAGTGAGTCTCGCCACTACCCGTCAATACATTCCACCGCTCTGTTAAGTGAGTAGTGAGTCTCGCCACTACCCGTCAATACATTCCACCGCTCTGTTAAGTGAGTAGTGAGTCTCGCCACTACCCGTCAATACATTCCACCGCTCTGTTAAGTGAGTAGTGAGTCTCGCCACTACCCGTCAATACATTCCACCGCTCTGTTAAGTGAGTAGTGAGTCTCGCCACTACCCGTCAATACATTCCACCGCTCTGTTAAGTGAGTAGTGAGTCTCGCCACTACCCGTCAATACATTCCACCGTTCTGTTAAGTGAGTAGTGAGTCTCGCCACTACCCGTCAATACATTCCACCGTTCTGTTAAGTGAGTAGTGAGTCTCGCCACTACCCGTCAATACATTCCACCGCTCTGTTAAGTGAGTAGTGAGTCTCGCCACTACCCGTCAATACATTCCACCGCTCTGTTAAGTGAGTAGTGAGTCTCGCCACTACCCGTCAATACATTCCACCGCTCTGTTAAGTGAGTAGTGAGTCTCGCCACTACCCGTCAATACATGCCACCGTTCTGTTAAGTAAGTAGTGAGTGTCGCCACTACCCGTCAATACATTCCACCGTTCTGTTAAGTGAGTAGTGAGTCTCGCCACTACCCGTCAATACATTCCACCGCTCTGTTAAGTGAGTAGTGAGTCTCGCCACTACCCGTCAATACATTCCACCGCTCTGTTAAGTGAGTAGTGAGTGTCGCCACTACCCGTCAATACATTCCACCGTTCTGTTAAGTGAGTAGTGAGTCTCGCCACTACCCGTCAATACATTCCACCGTTCTGTTAAGTGAGTAGTGAGTCTCGCCATCACCCGTCAATACATGCCACCGTTCTGTTAAGTAAGTAGTGAGTCTCGCCACTACCCGTCAATACATTCCACCCTTCTGTTAAGTGAGTAGTGAGTCTCGCCACTACCCGTCAATACATTCCACCGCTCTGTTAAGTGAGTAGTGAGTCTCGCCACCACCCGTCAATACATTCCACCGTTCTGTTAAGTGAGTAGTGAGTCTCGCCACCACCCGTCAATACATTCCACATTAAGTGAGTAGTGAGGTGTGTGTGGTTTAGTCAGCCGTTTATTACTCACGGGAGTTGAATAAGTGAGTATGATTATACGCCGCATCCGTTCACGACATGGAATTCATACTTTGTACCTATGTAGGGAAATGAACCCTGGGCTTCTGCACGAACACTCTAACCACTAAGCCACCCCACCACTCCTTAACAAACTAGATACCACATGACACAACTCAATAAAGATATCTGCTTGAATATCAAATGCTCAAACCCAGTGAAGATCCAGAATAGAATCGGTCTTTAAAAGGCGGCCATGCTTGTCGTAAGAGGTGACTAAAGGGATCGGGTGGTTAGGCTCGCTGACTTGGTTGATGCATGTCATCGTATCCCAATTGCGTGGATCGATGCTCATGATGTCAATCACTGGATCGTCTGGTCCAGACTCGACTATTTACAGACCGCCGTCATATAGCTGGAATATTGCTTGGTGGGGCGTTAAACAACAAACAAATCAAAACCAAATGCTCAAATATATGAAATCAGGCAATCAGCACTGTAAGCGAGGCAAGTTGCGGTCTTCCTCAGCCTGTAGTGTTCCTGTACACGTCCCTTGACGGTGAGTTTAACACTGCTACCTATCCTCCAGGTACACTGGCTCAGATGGCATCCAACAACACGTGCCAGGTGTGTGTCGGCGGCTCGACAGGCAACGCGGCAACAGCGGGAATGGACGCTTGCGGCGTCTGTAGCGGCGACAACTCCACCTGTACCGATTGTAGCGGAACTGTGAATGGGCAAGTACCATACATCTAGAATTTGTTCCAATTCCGCTTCTGACCAGATTCCTTGTATTTTCCACGAAATCTTTCATCCCAAACCTTAAAATTCAGTCGAAACTTGGAATCCCGCTATTGACCAAAACATAATTTACGTACATATTTAAGAAATAAACGACTCATGGTCGTTGTTTCTCGTACAATAAAACTCTGCAGGTTTATTCTCCATTCATTATTTTATTGTGCGATAAACAACGACCACGCGTCGTTTATTTCTTATATTATGTTTCAACATTATGTACAGCATCTTTAAGGATGTTGATACAATGTACAAGCTTCAGAAATATTTACCTTTTTTTTGATAATGATGACTCCCTGAATGGAATCCGACTTTGGAAATGTCGGACAAGACCATTTTACGAACAGGTGGGTTAAGTTTGATATATTTCCGCATATTCTTATGTTCCTTACATCGATTAACTGTACCTTTTCTCCCAATACCGATGGTCACATCTCTCCCACTTGTGGATGCGATCATTCGGCCACTACGTTTATGTGCATAGCCCAGCCACGTCTATAGTAGTTCATGCTTGTTTAAAATTGTTTGATACAAATTAAATAAGAGTACAGTTGTGTGGCTGTGTAGTGTAAGCTCCTCCTCCTTCATCACGTGATGAAGGACGAAAGAGTGATAACATGTTTAGACGTCAATAACAGTTCAGTAGACTTGTCCGACATTTTGAATTTAAAGTATGGCGCAGTGTGTGAACGTACCCAATTAAGCTAAGTCAGTGTATTGGTAGTCATTGGATAATGTCGACAGAACATTGTTAGGTGTTGATTGCATCTGAAGACACCCAACGTGCGTGATGTCAACCATTAAGACAACAAAACTTAAAACACCGCACGGACTGGCTCGCTGGTGGTGTCAATTACCAGTTCGTCACTCCGTAGCCAAAGCTGCTGGTCACCACGTGATTGTTTTCGTCCGAGATATTTTCTCAAGCATTATTTACGAAAACACTTTCAATGGCAGACTTCTGTGTGTGCGGTGTTGATGCCAGACTTCTGTGTGTGCGGTGTTGATGGCAGACTTCTGTGTGTGCGGTGTTGATGGCAGACTTCTGTGTGTGCGGTGTTGATGGCAGACTTCTGTGTGTGCGGTGTTGATGGCAGTCTTCTGTGTGTGTGGTGTTGATGGCAGGCTTTTGTGTTTGCGGTGTTGATGGCAGACTTCTGTGTGTGCGGTGTTGATGCCAGACTTCTGTGTGTGCGGTGTTGATGGCAGACTTCTGTGTGTGTGGTGTTGATGGCAGACTTCTGTGTGTGCGGTGTTGATGCCAGACTTCTGTGTGTGCGGTGTTGATGCCAGACTTCTGTGTGTGCGGTGTTCATATTATGGTGTATGGATTTCCGCAGTTTCGCCGTGCAAAGTCTTTTGCTTCCATTAGGTGTACCAAACCTAGAAGGGTACGTTCATCAGACAAATCGCAGAGCACTTGTCTTATGAAGGTACCCTCATGGGTTTGCCAATCTTCCCGAGGCAAGAGAGTTAACTGACTTTAAAAGTCCAGTTTCCACCCTTGCCGAACTAGGCTGGAATTACTGGGCTCGATCGTAGCGCCACCAGAGGCTATTACCAGTTATGTCCCTTCTAAGCCTCTCCTATGGACCAATTAGGTCCCACCCCGCGCATCACTCGCGTTTGCTTCACACAAAATGGTGGCGCCAAGTCAGGACGATCTGATTGATAATCAAGATCTATATTGTGATAAAACGGGTCTTACATCGCGAAATGCATCAAATTCCGTGAGCAACTTGATTAAAAACATGAAAAGATGTGGAAAATATCTGCTGACAACGAGTTGGCGGTGCAGATGCTTTGCAAATCCTGCAATCGACCGAAATCTGCGCGACAGTTTACGAACCGGATTTCGATTTCGGTGCGCGATTTTGATTGGACTATGCATAGACTCGTTAGTCCAGCCAAACTCCATAATACCACTCAGTCCGGCAAGGGTGGAAACTGGACTTTTATAGTCAGTTAACTCTCTTGCCTCGGGAAGATTGGGTTTGGCATGCAAAATGGACGCAACCAATTTCGTCTAAAATAGCGCAATTGGCCAAGAGTTATCTCCCATAGTGGTACCAGGTTCCGCTGCTCGTGGCACTTCCTGGTTATAATTCTTCACTTATCAGCACCTTGCCTGTGCTCGTACGTTTCACCAGAGATCTTTGCATATGGCAGGTGATTTACCAAAATGTGAAACATTTACATCATGAAACATCCTTTGATAAATTGAAGCAATGTTTATAGCGTTGATGAAGCCGAACTCTCTCACAAGTGAAATTTGTTCATTTTGCACTTGTTGCGAAAAGTCCGTTCATGTCCTCTTGGTGATGTAAAGCGACACTCACTGGACAAGTAATATAAGTCAGGTTAGACAGATCTCCATTCCTCTGAATGTTTAATCGAATTCATAACAACTGTGTTGTGGCTGATTTAAATAGTAATATCAGACTTTAAAAAACTGCTGGACTGGTTTGACGTCGTGTTTGACACAGACCACTGAAATCGATGAATATTTTTATACTTGTTTTTTTTTCTAAAACCAACATCTTATTTAACAAACCTCAAACCGAAATGATGTTACTACGTTCCTAGAATACACCAAAGCATAGTATCACGAAATCTAGTGCCCGACACGCAAGACTTACATGAAATATACAAGCATTGCCGTACACTGTTCCAAGTAAGTGATTGATTTCCTGGTTGTTGATTACAAGAATGTCGCTGTATTAATAATTAAATGTGTTCCTTCTCGTTGTCCAGTAGGTAACCGGCAGCCATCTCTGTTTGTGTAGTTCTGTATCGGGGACAGCTTTGGGGCTATCTTCATTCAGGGAAATTGTAACATCGCATGTAATGTGATGACAGGGTTGCTCCGGGCAGCGGCAGTTTTTCTAACTTAGATGTTGTGTTTATTGCCTGGCATTTTTGCTGTGGCTTGGAAGTAGAAGAAATGCCTGGACTGATGTAATAACATCCAAGTTTAATCTACATCTTGATTGTCATTATTGTGATCTGCTGTTATCACTTATCTCTTCATTATGCCGAACTGTATACACTGATCATTATGCCGAACTGTACACACTGATCATTATGCCGAACTGGACACTGATCATTATGCCGAACTGGACACACTGATCATTATGCTGAATTCTTACACACTTGTTAATATGCCGAACTGTATACACTGATCATTATGCCGAACTGTACACACTGATCATCATGCCGAACTGGATACACTGATCATTATGCCGAACTATACACACTGATCATTATGCCGAACTAGAAACACTGATCATTATGCCAAACTGTACACACTGATCATTATGCCGAACTGGATACACTGATCATTATGCCGAACTGTACACACTGATCATTATGCCGAACTGGACACTGATCATTATGCCGAACTGGACACACTGATCATTATGCTGAATTCTTACACACTTGTTAATATGCCGAACTGTATACACTGATCATTATGCCGAACTGTACACACTGATCATTATGCCGAACTGGACACTGATCATTATGCCGAACTGGACACACTGATCATTATGCTGAATTCTTACACACTTGTTAATATGCCGAACTGTATACACTGATCATTATGCCGAACTGTACACACTGATCATCATGCCGAACTGGATACACTGATCATTATGCCGAACTAGAAACACTGATCATTATGCCGAACTAGAAACACTGATCATTATGCCGAACTGTACACACTGATCATCATGCCGAACTGGATACACTGATCATTATGCCGAACTGTACACACTGATCATTATGCCGAACTGTACACACTGATCATTATGCCGAACTGTACACACTGATCATTATGCCGAACTAGAAACACTGATCATCATGCCGAACTGTACACACTGATCATTATGCCGAACTGGATACACTGATCATTATGCCGAACTGTACACACTGATCATTATGCCGAACTGGATACACTGATCATTATGCCGAACTGTACACACTGATCATTATGCCGAACTAGAAACACTGATCATTATGCCGAACTGTACACGCTGATCATTATGCCGAACTGTACACACTGATCATTATGCCGAACTGGATACACTGATCATTATGCCGAACTGTACACACTGATCATTATGCCGAACTGTACACACTGATCATTATGCCGAACTGTACACACTGATCATTATGCCGAACTGTACACGCTGATCATTATGCCGAACTGTACACGCTGATCATTATGCCGAACTGTACACGCTGATCATTATGCCGAACTAGAAACACTGATCATTATGCCGAACTGTACACACTGATCATCATGCCGAACTGGATACACTGATCATTATGCCGAACTGTACACACTGATCATTATGCCGAACTGTACACACTGATCATTATGCCGAACTGAACACACTGATCATTATGCCGAACTAGAAACACTGATCATTATGCCGAACTAGAAACACTGATCATTATGCCGAACTGTACACACTGATCATTATGCCGAACTGTACACACTGATCATTATGCCGAACTGTACACACTGATCATTATGCCGAACTAGAAACACTGATCATCATGCCGAACTGTACACACTGATCATTATGCCGAACTGGATACACTGATCATTATGCCGAACTGTACACACTGATCATTATGCCGAACTAGAAACACTGATCATTATGCCGAACTAGAAACACTGATCATTATGCCGAACTAGAAACACTGATCATTATGCCGAACTGTACACACTGATCATTATGCCGAACTGTACACACTGATCATTATGCCGAACTAGAAACACTGATCATTATGCCGAACTGTACACACTGATCATTATGCCGAACTGGATACACTGATCATTATGCCGAACTGTACACACTGATCATTATGCCGAACTGGATACACTGATCATCATGCCGAACTGGATACACTGATCATTATGCCGAACTAT